GTATATATATATATATATATATATGTTTGTATGTATGTATGAGGAAAACAGCTTTTCTCTGGAAGCATTTCAGTGGCATAGTCAGCCCATTGCTAGGCTACCTACAGAACACCGAGTCGTGCCAAGCCTGTGCCTCTGGACTGAACAAACCCGAAGGCAAGGTACGCTGATATCGGTATGCTTAAGTTGCCCCTATGGAGGAAATACATCACAGGACTTATCTACCCAGATAGAAGGGCCGTGTTGAGCCATGTGCCGTGTTCTTACCTGCGTGAGGCACTGAGCCCGTTCAGTCCACAGGCTGTGCTTCTGGCATCTTTTCAGCTTCATCCTCCTGTTCTGGAACCACGTCTTCACCTGGGTGGGGAAGGGAGAGCCAAGATCAGCAAAGGAGAAGGAAAAGCAAACGTTATCAGATTCACAAGCAGGAAGAACCAGGGCGGAGGGGGGGGAGAGTGACCAGATGGCATAGATATAGGGGCAGCAGCAGATAAAGGCCTTTCAGAGCTCCCTGGCTTTGTTGCCAAGGGGAGATGTCTGTCTAGCAGCCTCAGCAGGTGGCTAGTGCATCTGCATGGCAGGGGGAGGAGGCGGCATTATGGTCAGGGGACACTTATAGCTGGGACAAATTAACTCGTTTCAATCCTGGAGATGAATGACCGGTGCAAATTAGGCCCACTCGGGTCTCTACAAGCCTCCTATGCTCCAGGCAAACTTCTAAGACCCTGTTTCTGCAGACTGTGAGTGGAGAAGGGAGAGGCTTGCTCCTTGTACTCAGCAGCTCCCAAATTCAAAGCTCCTTGCTGGGGTGAATTCCAGAGCTGTTTCCCCCCAGGGCTGTGTCTGCGCTGTGAGAGCAGCCTTTGCAGGGATGTGGATTGAAGGAAAGAGCAGATTGTCCCACCGCTCTTGTTCCTGACAGAACCAGTTCAGTGTGTGCCCCTACAATGCATATGTAACTTTGTTAGTCCCAGGGCATCTCCGGGCATCCAGGCCATCATGCCCAGCTCTGAGATCCAAATTCCAGGCAGATTTTGGACATGCAACTGCAAACCCTTGTGCTCCATTGCCCAGCCCCCCCCCCCTCTGCTTTAGGAAGGCATCATTTGAGCCAGCATCATCGGTTCACTACACACAGCCTGCCCGGAGATCAGCAGGGACCCCGAAGGCCTGCAATGTATGAACCCAGCAGCACCCACACGGTGGGGGAGCGGGTGTCAAGCAGCCAGGCAGTGCTGAGTGAGGGTCATTATTCAATACCGGGCAAGATCAGCCCTGGGAAAGGCTAGCAATAGCTTTCAGCGTGTTGCAGCCCTGGGATTCAGAGAATTGATGCATGCCAGGGTTGCTGTGAAGTTCACCACCGCCTGGAAAAAGTCTGTGAAGTGCTGTCAAGGCCAGGGGAGAAGCTGTGGCGAACAACATATTCACCACTGTGTTTGCAATTCTACTACGAGTGTTGGCAACAGTACCCCTAACTGACCCCTTAATTGGGGGGGCCCCAATGAGGTGCCACTGACTCTCCTGCCCCCCAGAAGTGCTTCTGATCTCTGGGCATGAATAGCCGGGGAGCAACTGTTAGCTGGCACCTTTGCCTCTGTTCTCTGCGGGGGACTCATCTTTCCATCCTGCTTTACGTGACAATTCAGCTGCTGTGTGACAGAAACACCGTGGGTCAAAGCCTCCGTGTTCACCTGCTTGTAGGTGAGCCCTAGGGTAGCAGCCAGCTCCCGGATCTGCTGGGGGCTGAGGTACTTCTGGCTCTGGAACCGCTGGTGCAGGGTTTGCAGCTGGTCCTTGGAGAAAGCCGTGCGGCTCTTGGCCTTCCTCACTCCCTCCATGCCATCTTCTCTGTCTTTCCGAGACTTAGCCGCAGGCTGTGGGGACAAAGATGCCGAATGTGGACTAGTGGCTGAATCTGGTGTGAACTGGCTGAAATTCCCAGAACTGGACGAAGCTGGGGATACTTCTAGAAATAAAAAGACAATGGGAAAAGATATACGAGACATAATGCATGGCTGTATGGGTATGAGCATGCTGCCTGCCTGCTGTAGAGCTCCTTGCCTACCAGAGAAGGGCTTTCTTGAAGCAAAGGCTTGTGTCACCCTCCCTTTTTCATGGATCCATCAGCACAGACAAGCCCATTGACAGCAAGCAGTTTCCCAGCTCAGCCCTCCAGGATGCCCACGGCTCCCTTTCGCCAGGGCAGGGAGGGGAGAAGGGTGCACATCAGCTCACAGTGTTACTATCCCCCTCAAAAAGGTCCCGGTAATATTTCGGTCTCAGTATGGTGTAAAGAGGTCTGGTCATGACTGCAAGCGTAGCTTTGTGTTGGTGACTGGGCTCCCTGAAACTGCCTGCCCCCCTCCAAGCACTTGACAGGCAGTGACAAAGAAACCACCGACCAGGGTGTCCGGTGGGCAGAGCAGTCGGTGCTCACGGTGATGGGATGATGGGGCATCAGTCAGGCCTCAGATGTTGGCTCACTCCTCTTTGCCCGTAGCTCCCACCACAGACCATCCCGCTGCTGGAAACGTGCGTATAGATGGAGGGATGTATTTGGCTGAGGGGGGCTTCTGGCGAGAGAAGAATGAAGGAGGGAAATTTGACATGGAAGTGGGGAGGGAGAGAGGAAAGGTGGATGTGCAGGACTGGTGAGAAGAGCCAGTCATCCCATACCGGGGACATGGGGGACAAAATTTAAGAGTGGAGAGGAAGGTGTCCAAGCCCCTTCTCGTTTGTCCGCGTAGGTGTCTTAAGCGGTCTCTGTTGAGATAAAGATCTAAAGGAAAAACTTCCTAAACAATCTGTGCTATAAGTCCAGACGAAAGCTGTCAAAATGTAAAGTCATTGAGGCTGCTGGAATAGGAAAATGCTAACAAGAGAGATTACCCCAGCACCTTTCTGTCAGGTGCTTGGTTGCTGGGGGTCTGTGAGAGGCTGAGACCTTCTCAGGCCAGCCCTGATTGAAGGGCTGCGATGTCAGTCTCCCTCCTTCCCCATAACAGCAATGATAAATCCGTCCATTCCTCTTTCCTCCAGCTACTCCTCTGCAAACCCTTCCGCATGGTCCATCCCCTCTCCTGCGATGACATTTCAGGAGAGCAGGGGTGCAGTGCACGGGGCAGTGCCATTTTCCGTACACACCCGCTGACTACTGAGCCCAACCCATAGCTCCCAGTCTCCTTGTCACCCTGGGAGCAGCGACTCTGAAGCCTACTGAGATACCCTCCTCAACCCCCCAGATGTATGTCCGGGGTAAAGTACTGATGCTCTCCTGAGGAATGGGCCCCTCCGTTCACCCACCCTACCAAACCCTTCCTTCTTCTGTCCTAGGGCTGAGAGGCTACTAAGCAGTCACTCAAAAGCCTTGAGGTGTCACTGGGCTTCAGAAAGGTGGCCATGCCTGCAGTATCTTTCCCCTTGTTACCCTCCTGACAGAGGCAGAACCTGTCTTTGTGGTGCCTGCTGCTCTAGGGTTGCCTGTCCTTGGCTGTTTCCTATCCCTAGGAGATGACAACCACCCAGAGCACAGACTGTGGGAAGAGGCAGATGCGTAGCGGGGCAGTTTTGTGGTGCTGGGGAGCAGGGCCATGAGATTACAAAGGGATTCTGCCTACAAGGAGAAAGGGGCTGTCAACAGGAGAGGTGCAAGGGCCCAAGGCGGTACGTGCATGGGGATAGACTGCAGAGCCTGAGAGGAAGCTGAACATCCATGATCTGGATGCTCAGGAAGCTAAAATTTCGTGTGGGACCACAGGACGCTTGGTTCCTGCAGGCTGTGCAGTAAAAACCTTATAGGTCAGAACTGAGCACGCTGAGAATGTGGGCTTGGAAAACAGGAAAGTCTTCTGTCAGACAGGAACATAGAGCTAAAGCTCCCACACTTGCCTGCTCGGCTTGGCGTCCCAAACCCCTGTGTAATTTGCCACCTGCAGCTCAAGCTTAAGACAGAGATGCTGTCTCTCCCAGGAGGAGAGGGTGAAGAAAAGAAGAAGCCAGAAACACAAACAGCAGCAGAACAGACATAAAGGTGAAAACCCTGACAGACCCACTCCCACGAGCCCTTGACATCTGTAGGCTTTTGCTTTCACCACCGGGCTTTCTCCATTGAGAGGGGCAGCAGAGGAGAGCGTTTGAAGGTGGATTTTAAGTCTGTGTACCAGGCCCCTTGGAGACACGAATGAGTCAACCTGCCTGCTGTTATTGTGGAGCAGGCAGCGGGCAGGGAACTTAAGCCTTTCTCCAAACTATGTGGCAAGTAGCCATGTGCCAAGTGGCCACTAGTCACTCTGCCCCAGCCTGTAGCTGTCTATAGCATCTGACAGCTTGAAACCAGCACTCCAAAAAGCTCTCCTCTCACCCAGTAACCTTACAAGAGCATTCCCCCAATGACCATAGGATGGGGCTGGGGGAAGACCTGCCCTCACCAGCTGTTCTGTTGCCACTCGCTGGGGTGGCAGACGAACGGCAGGGACAGAAAATGCCACTGCGGTGGGGCCTGGGACTTTTTGGCAAAGAGGGAAAGGCAAGGCAACAAGAGCACGGAAAGGAGAGGGAAATTGAGAGAGGAAAATCTCAAAGTAGAAAATGCAGAGAGTAACAACGCTGGATTTATAGGGAGCAGATTTCCCGGCACGGTGGTGCAGAGCATGGCTTGGCTCAAGTTTAATGAGCACATGAAGCGTGCGAGGAGTTTGTAAGGGGCTAAGGGATGCCACGAGCAGAATTACCTTCAGGCTTTGTTTCTCCCCATAGTACATGTGACAGCATTTGACTAAAGGGAGGCCCAGACATTCCTGCCCCGAGAACCATGAACTTCCATGAGACCATGTTGTCACACTGCCCTTCAGCCTGGAGCACAGACCTGGACTCTCACAGGCTCCGCTGGGATTTAGGAAACCAGTTTACAGTCCCCAAAGAAAAGTAGCATGGAAAGGCGATGCGACTGCCCAAGGTCACCCATCCTCCTTGCCCACTGCATCGCACTTTGCCCACCTCACGCATTAGGAAACTGAGGCAAGGAGAGAGAAAAATTTACTCAAGGTTGCAAAGCAAGCGGCTGACCTGGGACCACAGGTATCCCGGGGAGCAGCCCTAGGATGTAGCCAAAAAGTCTTACCTGCCATCTGCCTCTTCCCTCCTGCCTCCGGAGACTGACTGGCACTGGTGGTTCCTCCGGGCCCAGCCGAAGCTGGGACATGTCCTGCCTCTCCCAGCGAGTTCCAGTAAAACTCCAGGTACCCCATACCAGTCCCACCGGGGTACGCCTGGTAGGCTGGTAAAGCCAAGTGTGCACACATGGGGGGCAGATGCAGATGAAGGGGTTGTTCCCCCACCTTCTGATAGATGCCACCTTCACTTGGGGAGCAGGTCTCACCAGCAAGCCCCGAAGTGTAGACAGGCAGTTACCTTTATAGTTGCCTATACCCTGCCTGGGAGTGCAATATTCACCATCCTCCGCTCCTCCAGGCTCTTTGTCATGTTAAAGAGGCTGATTGATGGGGTGGGGACAGAGCAGGGTGGAGGGGGGTGGTGGAGAGAAAGCCACACATGGCATCAGAGCTAAAATATGTCCCCTCTGAATTCTTCCCATTCTGCAGGTTCCTCAGTTACACCTGAGCAGGAGTCTGATCCAGAGCTCCAGGAAACCTCCTCCTGCTTGCTTCTTTGGGCTCAGCTCCAATTGCCCCATCATAAAATAAGCCCAGATGTCCTGTAGAAGACAGCTGTTCACAGCACCGGGAGAACAAATCCCAAGCAACCCGCACCACAGGGGAGTGGACAGGAGGT